TCCTATTCCATTCTTTAATTATCACACTCTGCTATTGCTAATGCCAAAACTAATAGCCAAAAGCTCTCTCTCTCTCTCTCTCTCTCTCTCTCTCTCTCTCTATCTATCTATCTATCTATCTATCTATCTATCTATCTATCTATCTATCTCTATCTCTATCTCTATCTCTATCTCTATCTCTATCTCTAGCTCTCTTTCTCTTCCCCCCAAATGATGCATGCCACACATGATCATCACATACAAGACTGGTGTCTAAGCGAACAGAGGTAGATCTTTGGAAGCCCCTCCCTCACTGCCAACCATTGTTAAAAAAATGTGTCCTTTATTGCTACTATTGGAGAGCTTGACCTATCCCTATAAGCTCTACCATTTGCTCTTGTAGTAGGCTTAGCATATCCCTCCAACTATGAATATGAAAGGAAGATAAGAACCCAATTGATGTAGAAAGGGGCCAACAAGGTGAGGGTATGAAAGTATAGTTTGCAAAGGGATGTCTTTTCCACTAGTTCACACAAGCATGTCGTTGAAAGAGCTGCAATGACAACCCACCCATTCCTATCCATCCTAGTCTAGGTTGTCCCCCGCTCGGTTGATCTCGATCGATGGCATCCACTCGTGAACTATCATTGCCTTCTATCTTGGGTAGCATGTCGGTTGAGGACAATTAGCTACATCAATCTTTTGTCTAGCATTGCCATGACCTCCATCGCCACAAGTATATTAGTATGATCGCCACATTTTTTGCAATCCCTTACCTACACTGATTCATCACTAAGCAACGTACACTACCGAGCCACATCCTCCCACTATTTGCCTTGGTGGTCCTCAACACTAGCAACTCACACCTTCTGCAACCACCACACATGGGGATCAGAAGATAGTTTTGACCTAGACCTGTTGGAACTAGATGCGCCCAATATTTGAGCACATCATGTGCAGCACGCGAAGACGCTTGATGTCACAACACTAAGCAAATTGGCCAAGCTGATTTCAAGATCCGGTTAGGAATATTTTATTTTGGATTGTCGATAGACCAACAATCGCTCGATTAGGAGACCATGTCAGTGTTTTGACCTCCAATGACTAATCCAACGAATCATGCACAGTAGATTAGATGGGTTGCACACACAACATAGGTTTATAATGGTTCAAGTACACATACTGTGGCCTATGTCTAGTTTATGAGGAGAGATTTATTGCTTGTTGTCACACCCAATCTATATCTCTTATAAAGCTAATCCCAACTACAAGTTATATGTCAACATTCAAGCCATCCACACCATTTCCCATTAATTATTCACATCCTCTCCTACTAATAGCCGTGTCATTCCACTAACTCCCAACTTTTTAATGTAAACTATTCATGTCATCTCCACTTAATTTCATTCTGAATTCTTTGCAATTCCCGCAGCAACGCGTAGAGTATCGTCTAGTTTTAAAGCTAATCCCCACTACAAGTTATATCTCAACATGCAAGCCATCCACACCATTTCCCATTAATTATCCAGATTATCTCCCACTAATATCCATGTCATTCTACTAACTTCCAACTTCTTAATGCAAACTATTCATGTCATCTCCACTTAATTTCGTTCCAAATTCTTTGCAATTCACACAGCAACGCGCAGAGTATCGTCTAGTTTTAAGGATGAAACAAGACTCTTACCATATGTGTGCTTAGTAAGTCAATTCACATGTATAGAGACAAAATGAGGCAATACCAAATACTATGCATTTATTGCAAAGATTTTAAAATCCATCAAAAAGAGACTTATTCTTTACTAATATACAACAAAACATAATATTATTATCTTGACGAAGCCTACAACACCACATGGACATCAATTGGTGAACACATGTTTAGTACTCCTAAGGAAACTTGGTGACATCACTACCATCTTGTACCCATCTATTTTTTAATTTGTAAGTATAAACATACTTAACAGGTACAACATGAGTTAGACGCATTGAACTACTTTAATAAGTAAATTTAGTTGGTCATGTTTTATTTTGTTCAACTTGAGTAACTAGATTGCGCTTAAGCAACAAGTATAAGTAACTAAATATAACATATAGACTAATCATAACCAAACCATAAGTAGCACTAAATAACCAGAAGGATTCAGGCCGCTCATGACTGAGTGCACGACTATTAAAATAGTTTAAATGACACTCTTCAGAGGATGTACAACTTTACCTAGAAGTCTTGATTTTATATGTGTCAGGGTTTATAACTCTCACATTACACTTCCAAGGTGTAACAGTTGGGTTTCACTATGAAGCTTTTCTGTAGTGGCTCTAATAAGTCAACAACCGCTAAGCTTTTAGTCTGGCCATGTGTCATGGATGCCTTCCTCCAAGGATGGTAGACATGCATGGTCGTGGCAAAGCACGCACCACACGGATGGGCTTGTAACATCATGAGGAGTAAGACCCTCAGGTCTTGCGGCCCTGTTCAGACACACTATTGAGTCGATGGAAAGGTTGCCTTGTGCGGCTTCGGCATGTACGTGCGTGAATTTAGGTTTGCCCAGCTAGATGTAAATCAATTCGAATCATCATCTCTCTTGAAATGAACCTTGTCCATGCCTTGCATCATAGTAATGATATGAAACATGACAATGATATGATGCTTACTCATTATTATTTTGCTTGTCCTCTTAATAAAAAGTGTTCTTGTAAGGATAGTGGCAAACCTAGTACATGATAGATGAACTTAAGACATGATGCTTGTGTTGTAAATCATTGAAGTGGGGGAGAATATAAGGGCCATGTGTCTTGTGGCCAATATTTTATCTTTTAGTTTTAGTAATTGAGATGACAACACAAGCCTAGGACTAACATAAGTGTTGAACATGCATTAGACAAGTTATAATAGGTTCTAGGGATGCAAATCCAAGTTGAAATGGAGAAGAAACAACGAATTTTCCCCACGAGGACATTCACCGAATCACATGTTAGGACCAATGGATCATGTGGTGGTCTCTAGTATGTTAGCTAGAATGACACCACCCACCGGATGATACTATAACACCCCAACCCATTAGAAGCTTGTAGTAGTTGTGCTATTGGCTCATGTGGCACATGAGGAGTTCTTGGTGGTTTTAGTACCACCTTGGAGGTTTAGGACAGTGAGGGCTAGCTTATAATCCTTGTCATTCCAAAAATAGCACTTTCGGGTTAACCCTTTCACACAAAGCGAGGATAAAAGGTAAGTGCTACACGTATGTAGGCCCGTTCCTTGTGAGGAGCTAGGATGTAAGCAGATTTTGGACGCGGGGTGTTATAGATGGTATCAAAGCATTAAACCTTGCTACATGTTCTTGTGGAAGGGTGTACCAAGGGGGTGGTTTTGGGCATCTCATGCGTATGTAGTGAGCTGCAAAGGGTGACAACCTTTAAGAGGGGTGACACCCCAGCCCATTAGAAGAATGTAGTAGTTGTGTTGTTGGCCCATGTGGTACATGATGAGTTATAGTTGGTGGGTTTTGTACCACCTTAGTAGTTTAGGATGGTGAGGGCTAGCTTATAATCATTGTCGTTCGACATAGCACCTCCCTGTTAACCCTTTTTACACGAAGCGAGGGTGAAAGTGTAAGAGAGGTGATACATGTATGCGGGGCTAGGCTGCAAGCAGATTTTCGATGTGGGGTGCTATAGATACAATGAAGAAATGAATCACATGTTGATGATGTGGCGGAAAATGAAGGATAGGTCAGTGAATCATCTGACGAAGAGGTTTCAACTTTAGTAAGAGAAGATTCAATAGTCAGCTGAGAAATATACACTACCGGATGATATGGTGTAGAATCTGGGACCACCAAGTGATTCTAGATGACATTGCGGAAAACAAAGGATAAGGCGGCGAATCATCCTGTAAAGAGGGATCAATGTTAGTAAGTAAAGAGTCAATAGTCAACTGAGAAATATACCCTACCAGATGATATGGTGCAGAATGTGGAACCACCCAATGGATCATCCGGTGGTGCATAGATATATGGGGGTGCATCACTACCTTGAGTGTGTCGGAGTGCCGCAAGGCTGTTACAAAAGACATCAATATTTGACACCGAATAGCTACAATATGAAAATACATTTCATGATAAATCTAATAATACTTATTTGGTGTCACAAACATTAGTATTTTTTTTGTATAAGTTTGATCAAACTTGAAATGGTTTGACTTAGGACAAACCTAGAACATCATTTATTTTGGGACAGAGGGAGTAGAAGATATAAATAGATTTTCATATACTAGATTTGGATATGGAGATATAGCTATAGCAATAGGTATATGTAAAGATACACGAAGTTCATTCAAACATCACGTCTTAGATCCATTAACCCATGCGGCTTATCTTTTTCTTTTTAAATAAAAAGAAGAAGAAAAAAGTAAATGCAAAAGTAGATATGCATCGTCAATTAATACTGACTAGATCTACTTGATAGTGATGGAATATTCCATCCATGCCAAAAAAAAATACAATTCTAGATTTGTGCGAAGACAAGTTTGCTTATGTTTAACCGAATTTATAGAAAATAGTATAAATATTTATGTTTTCATTGATTGATTTAATATTTGATATCATAAATGTTAGTACTTTTACATAAATTTGGTTTAACTATGACTCCTCGAAAAACGAGAATTATATGTATATTTTTTATATATACTTAGAGGGAGTAGAAGTTATTGTATACCACGAGGCAGTCCACGGCTCAAGGCAAGGAAAAAAAAGCACAGGTAACCCGAAAGACTGAATCGGTTGCCGGTTGTTCCAGTGACACACAATTAATGATGTGCAATCTCCGTTAACGACGCATTCAACTGGCACACATGCATGCATGTGTGACTTGGGGGCTTGGGGCCTATTGTCTAGTTCTTCGTCAACGCAGCCACTTAACTTTTACTCCTATCTAGTACCTTCCAATACATGTATTCTGTACACTGCACAGCAAACCATACACAGATGCATTCTATGGAGAGCTGGAACCTCTCTCCTATGGCCGCAGCGGTCACTGCTGTCGTCTTCATCCTCTCCGCCATGAGTACACGAGCATCTGCGGCACTCATCGAGCAAACCTTTGTGGTAAGCAACATGCTTCTTCATGCCACAATTTGGCCTGCACATTTATTTGCTACATTTCTGAAAACTCTGAATCAGCTGCACAGCCGTTCTGAACTTTTAACAAGCCATTGAACCTTTGATTGATTTGTAGGAACATGCATGTATATATGTAGGTGAGCCAGATGAGAATGACACACCTGTGCAGGGAGACCCTGGTCACCGTGGTGAATGGGCAGTTGCCGGGGCCGATGATAGAAGCCACTAAAGGGGACTCTGTAATAGTTCATGTTGTAAACCAGTCACCCCACAACATGACAATACATTGGTATGTAGTCCATCACTCCATATGTACAACTCTTCATCCCAATTTCGTTTTAAGAACAAAAGTCATCATGATCACACTTTTCATTTCACGTTTTTTTCGTCAGAGTTCCATTTCCTGAATCTTTTGTTTTGTGTTTTCCCTTGCAGGCACGGAGTGAAGCAGCAGCTGAACTGCTGGGTCGACGGCGTGCCAATGATCACCCAATGCCCCATCCTGCCCAACCACAACTTCACCTACCGGTTCGACGTCGCCGGTCAGGAAGGAACACTGTGGTGGCACGCTCATGTCTTCAGCCTCCGTGGTACCGTCCATGGAGCCTTCATCATCCGGCCAAGACATGGCGGCGCCAACTCGTATCCGTTTCCGAAGGCTCATAGGGAGATCCCCATCGTGATAGGTTTGTGAATTATTTCACAAATTCACATTATAGATCATCTATGATACGCAGACGTTTGCTGATGTGGTATTGCTAATGTCGATTAGGGGAGTGGTGGGAGATGGACCTTGAACAGATGGACAGTGATTTCGTGCATGGTTTCCTCGATGACCAACCCAGTGCATCCACCATCAATGGCAAGCTTGGAGATCTCTTCAACTGTGAAGGAGCAGTGGAAGTTGGGTATGTGTTGGACATGGAGCCTGGAAAGACATACCTACTACGAGTAATCAACGCCGCCCTCTTCTCCGAGTACTATCTCAGGATCTCCGGGCACAAGTTCACGGTGGTCGCCGGCGACGCCAACTACGTGAACCCCTACCGCACCGACATCCCCGCCATTTCGCCCGGCGAGACGGTGGACGCCTTGGTTGTGGCCGACGCGCCCCCTGACAGGTCCTACTACATGGTCGCCAAGCCCATCCTCACGCCGCCGCCGGACCCCCAGATCCCGGCGTTCGCTACAAGAGCGACGGTGCTGTACAAGTACAGCAGCAACCACAACCATAGCAATGGCGCGGCGGCCGCGCTGAGCTCACGTCGTCGTCGTCCAAGATCCGATGATGCTCCAGTGGCGCCCGAGATGCCCGACGAGTTCGACATGATGACGTCGTTCTACTTCCGCGGCAACCTGACCAGCCTGCGCCGGCGACACGCGCAGCACCTGCCGGCGGTACCGGCGCAGGTGGACGAGCGTATGTTCGTCACGCTCGGGCTCGGATCCGTCTGCCGGCGGCGAGGCCAGCAGTCCTGCAAGAGGGGGGACAGCGACGAGACCATCAGCGTGGCGACCATGAACAACGTCTCCTTCGAGCTGCCTGATCTGAAGACCTCAATGCTGGACGCGTACTACCGCAACACAAGCAGCATGGACGACAAGGTGGTCGAGCTTCCTGACGGGCCACCGAGGATGTTCAACTTCACCGACAGTGCCCTGATGCCGACGGGGCCCGAGGAGGAGGAGCTGGAGCCGACGTCCAGGGCGACGGTGGTGCGCCGGTTCCGGCACGGCGCCGTGGTGGAGGTGGTGTTCCAGAGCACGGCCATGTGGCAGGGTGACTCCAACCCGATGCACCTGCACGGGCACGACATGTTCGTGCTCGCCCAGGGGCTTGGGAACTACGACGCGGCGAGGGACGTGGCGAGGTACAACCTGGTGGATCCGCCGGTGAGGAACACCGTTCTCGTCCCCAGGCTCGGCTGGGTCGCCGTCAGATTTGTCGCCGACAATCCAGGTGCAGTGCACACTCGTTTAATTTTTATTTTATTTACCTGTTCTCGGGTTCTTACATGCACACACAACAATACAGTTTTCAAGTTTGGATTCAATCTATTTGGAGAGTAGCAGGATGAATTTTAAAATTCATGTGATGACAATCATAAGTCTGATGTAATCCCTCTCTATCCTTCTCCCTCGCGTCGCTCCCGTAGGCGACTCGGGGGAGCCCCCATAGCACCGCCGCCAGCCCCCGCTCTGCTCCCTCCCTCCCTTGCCATCGCCCGAGCGGGTGGCTGGACGCTCGGCACCTGCAAGGAGGGCGGCGGCAGTGCTTTCTGGCCGGGCGGAGCATGCGCGCCGTGCGGGCGGCGCGACTCTCCATCCCGTACTGCGGTGCTTTCCCGGCGCTCCGGCCACCAATCCTCATCCCTTCGTCCAGATCCATCGCCCCCATGGGTGGATTCGCGACCTACAGGGCCATGGCGGTGGTGGCGCCGTGCGCAGGGCCACGCGATGACGGCGGCTGTGGGCTGCTTGAAGCAGCGGCGGCGGCGGCGGCGGCAGCGCCGGCCCGTTCCGGTCCAGGGTCTTGGGGGTCAGATCCGGCACCTCCAGGGTGGATGACGGCGACCGCGCGGCGATCTGGCTGGGGGCCGGCCTCCCCTCTCGATCGGCGGCTTGGGGCCGGATCCGGTGGCCTGCTGGCTGGATCCGGTTATTCTTTGCCGGATCCGGCGGGGAGCCCATGCGTCAACGGCGGCGGCTCCAGCCTGGGTGTCGGGAACGGCGCCAGTGGCTGGGGCTGCAGACGCTTGGTGCTTGGCGCTCCCATTGCGGCATCCTGCGTCTTTCTCGCCCGGTGCCAATGACGTGGTTTGACCGAGATCCACGGAGGGCTGGGGAGCGAGCGTGACGGCGGCAGTTCGGCGCGGAGGCTGCTGAGGTGTTGCGTGGCGTGGTTGTTGTGGGGCCGGCTCGGCAGGGGGTGGGGACGTTGGTGGGTTGGGCGACTGGGGCTTCTTCTGATCCCAGCCCTCTTCTCCCTGCCATCTGCCTTTCCCCTTCCCCGGGCTGGTTTTCATGGTGGAGCTGGCTGCTTCTGCCTGCTGCTGGCCGGCATTGCCGGTTGCGGTGGGGGGCGGACTCTCCGGCGGGTTCCCCCGACGCTTCTCCTGGTCGGGCGTCCCTAGGGGCGGAGTCCAGGCGCTGCACCCTGCTTCCTGGTAGGGTTGTGCCTCTGGCGGCGACGGTGTGGAGGTGGTTTGAGGTGGGGGCGAAAGCGTGGACGACGACGTCTGCGGATGTCGTTCCCTTCTTGAAGGCATCCTTTCCTACCTCTTCTCCTACCGTACTGGATATTGCAGATGAAAACCTTCCTTGGCGGGCTACCATGTCGGCGCTTTTAGTGTCGTTTCCTCCTTGGGGGCATGGCTAGGCATTCCAGTTTCGCGATTGATCCTTGCTGTTTGGTGTCACTCGGCAGAACGTCGTTTTCTTTGGTCCTTGTTAGTTGATAGTTGAGTTGTTTAGTTGAGTCGTTCCAACCCAGTTGGATGAAGTAGTGGTGTGAGTTGTGATAGTTGCCCAGTTGTTGTACCAAAGTTGCTAGGACGAGTGGATCACTCTCCTGAGTTATATGGTTTTTAGACCCAGTTTCGGCTCAAAAAACTGGGTGGGCATTTACCTTTTTTCTTTCTTTCATAGTCTAATAGAAATCACGGCAAAGCTTTTGCCGTCCTTTCGAAAAAAACAATCATAAGTCTGAATTACAGAGAAAAAAGAGGTGCAAACTAGATTACTGTTCCTTACAAATATCCAGTTCTGCTTGAAGTCTGAATTTTAAATGAATTGAAACACTAAGATTCAAATATATATGTCCACAACTTGTTTTCAGAGGAATGAAAATCTGTGTAGGATATCACACGTATTGGATAGTCATTGTTGGTGCCGAAGTAACACCCCATGGATCTAATTTTCTGTGTTGTACAGGGATGTGGTTCATGCATTGCCACTATGATTTCCATTTGTCCATGGGCATGGCTGCAGTGTTCATTGTAGAGGATGGGACAACAGCTGACACTTCTCTCCCTCCACCGCCTGTATTCTCATCATGTAGCCATGATAATAGTCTCAAGCCTCAAGAATTCTTCCTCAAAGCTAAATAAGCGAAGGTGCTCGTCAGTGTAAATCGGTGTGCGTGTGCATGTATTTATATGGGTGAGTATTGCATACATACATGCTAGTGTGCGTGTTGTGATCCGCAAAAGATAAAAATAGTGTGTCACACTTAAGAGTTTATCTCTTGGCACCAGCTTTCTGATTAGCTAAACCAGCAATTGAACAGCAATTATTTAGTTGCCAGCAAGGCAGTTGGTACAAATTTATTGCTGTATATCTAATAATTTTTTGAGTGAAACATTCTGGCGTTTACTAAACTTAAGAGATGGTGCAATTCAGAACTTCCATTTTTTTTATTGCGGGGCCGCCAGTGTATTTTACTTTATTTTTGTAGTATCAGCAGATTGGGAGAGTCCTCCACCCCACGGCGCTACCCTCAGCAATTCCCATGCCGCACCTTTCGGCCCCCTCTAAACCCCCACACCCCCCGCCCAACACACCCCCGGCCACTGCACTAAACAGTCAGTACTTGGTGCTGCCCTCCGAACAGCCCACGCTACACCCTTCCAGCCTGCCTGCCGCCGCATCCCTGACATTGCCATTAGACGGCAGCCAACCCTTGTCGTTGGTACTTGGAGCCTGTACCCAGTTCTCATAGCCTGTAGCGGGTCCATGAAAATTCAGGGACGAGCGAGCGAGTTCCACGTCTTTAGAAAATATAACATGTGGGATGACTCCACACGCGAGTTCCACATCTTTGAAAAATACTAAAAGATACCCCGCGCATTGCTACGGGAATTTAGAAGCATTTGGAATAAAATTAAGTGGAGATGATATATATATAAATCTTTTAATTAAGAGGTATTAAATGGAGATGATATATATTCTAATTAAGAGGTTAGAAGTTAGTGGGATGATATGACTATTAGTGGTAGACGATGTGGATAGTTAGTAGTGGAGAGATAATGCGGATGGCTTGCATATTGAGATAGACTTATAGTGGAGATTAACTTTATAATCTATACTATAAAGGAGCGAAGGAATTGGAAATTATGGCGATTCATTCAGAATTTCAACACCACAAAGCTCTTGCTTAGAATGGACTGCATCACCACGCGTGGACTGGCCTTCATTGACAAGGCGAGCCGGGATGAGCTTCTAGGTGGTTTGTCGTTCAGCCTTCTGGAGCAGCTTGAGCTAGAAGTTGAATATAAACCTGGATTCGAGCCATCAATAGTGATGCTGCTGGCAGACTTGCTCCATTGTTTCCCTATGGTTTGTGACCTCCGCATCAAGTTTGTCAAGAAGCACCAAACGCCTTGGATAGAGTCTTCTATAGAAAATGAACCTGGAGTTCAATTCGACAAGTCTGTCAGTGGCTTCAGGAATCGCAAAAGCAGGTCAATGGTTTCATTAGGCACAGAAAATGAAGACAACTATCAGGATTACGGTGTCACCCCTGGCCTGACTACGGAGCAGTCATTCAGTTGCCTGCAGAGTCATCTTAAAAGAGTGAGCTTGCACTTTTCTATGGACGAACCAAACTGCCTTGGAGTTAAACTGGCCAAGTTCTTTGCTGAGAACGCCATGGTTCTCCAAGAACTGCATATCGATGTCGGCTGCCACGAAATGCTGGAGCACGTGAATTCTAGTGTCCGAAGATGGATTGCTAACACAGATATAACGGCAATAACCAGCTGAATGTGAAGGATTAAATTCCAACTTTAATTGCTAGTGTGTTTTGTACAAGCTCCCTTTCTTTTGTTTGATCTCTGTTATTGAGGTTTTGAGCCTTGTATATCCAAGTTCAATAAAAAACCTTCATCATCTAAAAAGAGTATCTAAGTGGCACTGAGACACTACTACAGATTTGACATCACTGCCGGCCTCATCACTGTCAGATTCGTGAGAACTGGCAGTAATGTACGCTTCCGAGCTTGAAAACAAGAAAATAACTTAGTGTAGACTAAAACCGACATTGAAAGACCACATCACTGCCGGTTGTTAATATAAACCGGCAGTGATGTCTATTTACTGTCGGTTCAATTACTAAAACCAGCACTGATGCCTACTTCGGACCCGAAAATTTTATCTAACTCCAGTAAACTCCGCACGCCTCCCAACTCCCAACTCCGCACGCCTCCCCACCAGAACTCCGCACGCCTCCCATCTCCTCCTCCCCAGAACTCATCCACACCACACCCGCCTCCACTCCGCCGAGGAGAGCCACGCCGGAGAGGGGCTTCTTCCTCCACCTGTCCCCGAGGAGCAGCGCCAAGCCCCCACGCCTGCTCCCGCTCTTCCCCATCACCTCCGCGGTGGCGCCGTTCGAGTGAAGATAGAGGACGCTCGGCCATCTCCGTCGGAGGTGCTCGAGCATGCGGTGCGGACCCATGGAGGCCGCGGCAGTGACGTGCGGGACGCTCGGCCATCTCCGTCGGAGGTGCTCGAGTTGAAGGGGAGGAGCGCCGCCGTGGGGAGAGGGCTACCGCCGCCGCTCGCCTGCGCCGCCCGCCACCGGATCCGGCTTCCCCGCCACCAAATCCGGCTTCCCCGCCACCAGATCCATCCTCCCTGCCACCGGATCCGGCTTCCCCGCCGCTGGATCCGGCCTCCTCGCCTGCATCGCCTGAGGGAGAGAGGGAGGGCGATGCGCACCCCTCCTCCCCTCTGGCACGACGGCCCTCTCCCCTCCCTCTCTCCCTCAGGCGATGCGGGCGAGGAGGCCGCATCCGGCGGCGGGGAAGCTGGATCCGGTGGCGGTGAGGACGGATCCGGTGGTGGGGAAGCCGGATCCGGTGACGGGGAGGACGGATCCGGTGGTGGGGAAGATAGATCCGGTGGCGGGGAAGCCGGATCCGGTGGCGGGCAACGCGGGCGGCACAGGCGAGCGGCGGCGGTGGCCCTCTCCCCACGGCGGCGCTCCTCCCCTTCAACTTGAGCACCTTTGACGGAGATGGCCGAGCGTCCCGCACGTCACTGCCGTGGCCTCCATGGGTCCGCACCGCATGCTCGAGCACCTCTGACGGAGATGGCCGAGCGTCCTCCATCTTCACTCGAACAACGCCGCCGCGGAGGTGATGGGGAAGAGCGGGAGCAGGCATGGGGGCTTGGCGCCGCTCCTCGGGGACAGGTGGAGGAAGAAGCCCCTCTCCGGCGTGGCTCTCCTCGGCGGAGTGGAGGCGGGTGTAGTGTGGATGAGTTCTGGGGAGGAGGAGATGGGTGGCGTGCGGAGTTCTGGTGGGGAGGCGTGCGGAGTTGGGAGTTGGGAGGCGTGCGGAGTTTACTGGAGTTGATAAAATTTTCGGGTCCGAAATAGGCATCAGTGCCGGTTTTAGTAATTGAACCGACAGTAAATAGACATCACTGCCGGTTTATATTAGCAACCGGCAGTGATGTGGTCTTTCAATGTCGGTTTTAGTCTACACTAAGTTATTTTCTTGTTTTCAAGCTCGGAAGCGTACATTACTGCCGGTTCTCACGAATCCGACAGTGATGAGGCCGGCAGTGATGTCTAAATCTGTAGTATTGAAACTAGAATGCATGCAAAAGCAAATCTTATCTTAACAAATAAACCACAGAGGCTTCTCAGCCACTCAGGGTTGTGCACATTGAATCAGACGTTGGTGTCTTCTTCAGTGTCTTCTTGCAGCATGCGTAGGGCCATAGGTTTTGCCAACAAAAGCATCACAACATGTCCTCCCTCCTGGAGAAGCAGCTTGTCCTCGAGCTAGAAAGCCAGGTGCGATCTTTGAAGGACTTAAGGCGCTCCCAAGTGGCTTTGGCATCACTGTGGCCAACCCAGCACACTAGCAACTCCCATTGGTCGCAATTGAGTACGTTAGGCGCGAACCATGGACTCCGACACTGGAACAATGCAGCCACAGACTACGGGAAGTAGGGGCACTATTGCTTTTAGAGGAGCACCATGGTATGGCTTGAGCAAGACCACATGGAAGACATCATGAATTTTCACCTTGGATAGGACAGTGTAGATGATAGACCACTGGACCAATGCAGTCCACCACCTAATAGGGGCTGTAGTAGCGTTGGGGCAATGTTGGCACTAATCTTGTCAATGATGCCGGCAGCTGCACACCAGCGGGCAGGATATTGAGGTTGGCCTCAAGCATGGTGGAACAGAGGAGAGGAGTGAGCGATGGGGTTAAGGAGTAAGGGAGGAGGGGGACAGGAGAGACGTAAGAAAGAGAGAGGACAGGTTTTGCTGACATGTGAGCCCCACCTATTCAGATCCACGTTAACATTGAATCACCATGCGACATAGGATAGCGGGTAGGACAGGTTTCTATTTCTGAGTGATGGGACCCAGGAGAGTTCCTATACCAACAGTCAAAAAGTAAAAAGAAGTTTGGGATCTGGATGACACTGCGTCACAAGTTTAGGAACCACAGTGTATTTTACTAAAAAAAAATCCCGTGCAAACGTTTGTGGCAGTTATAATTTTTTAGTGAAACCCATCTAATGTAGTGTGAAATATGCATTGACCATTTAATGTTTAGATAGTTTACTTGAACACAACTTACGAGAATGTTTAAATATATTGATTTGTTTGGCTTTCTTTTACACTTTTTGGTTCCTACATCGTGGTCTTAGGCTTATTCTTGGAAAAACTATATATTGTTTCACTTTATTCATTATTAGGGATGGGAACTGGTGGGTGTAGGTTCGAGATGACGGACTAAAGGGGATGAATAGTCATTTCTAAAATTAATCTCACCAGCTAACCAAAACAAATATGAAATTAAATCTATCGGTCTAGCCAAGACTACACCCCTCTATCTAAGTTATCAAGCACCTTAGAAAGATCATAAACAAACAACTAAGGTGCCGGGCTAGGTAGAGCTCACCTAACCAATTCTAGGAGCACGGCCACACAAACCTATGCCACTGGTACTTCAACCACCATGGAGCTCCTACACATGCTAGTAGCAAAAGCACAAAGCTCCTAAGCTCACTAACAATGCTCAACAACAAGGCAACTAATGCCAAATTAGAGAACACAAATTACTTAACTATATAAACTAAGCAATATAACTAACAAAGTTACTAAAACCAAATTAGTTACGCAAGGGAGCTACTTCTATGCTACACAAGTAAGAAGGTAACTAGCAAGCTACACAAGCTAACTAATTACAAGAGCAACTACACAAGCACAATATATAAGAAAGTAAATACAAGCTTGTATATGGGGATTGCAAACCAACGGAAAGAAGATGACACAGTGTCACTAGGGCGCCGCAAGAACCTACCCGAAGTGAGGGTAGCTCAATGACACTCTCAACTAAAGTTGCTCTTTGTGGCTCCCACGGGGTGAGCACAATAGCCCTCACAATCACTTCTCCGGAGCACCGCACAAACTTCCTTGCGTGCTTCACTACGGAGAACTCACCACCAAGCCGTCTAGGAGGTGGCAACCTCCAAGAGTAACAAACACCACCAGCTTGCAATTCGAACACCAAGTGCCACTCGATGCAACCTCACAATACAATCGCACAAGAATCACTCACTCGCAATTGGATCACACTCTTGCAAGCACAAGTGAGTTAAAGGGCATCCAAGCACACCTACACAAGCCACCAAGGCGTGAAGGTGCTCAGTAGCCAGTCCAAGGCCCGTTAGTGCTTGGTTTTATAGCCCCCAAGCAAATAGAGCCATTGTACCCCTTCAATGGGCACTCTGTGCATCGACCGGACGTGCTGGTACTGATCGGATGCGTCCGATCACCAGCGTCCGGTCGCTCCTAGACAGTGTCGATGAAATATAGTCAGCAGTCTACCCAGGGGTATGCCCAAGGTAGTAGATTGTCGGCAGACAGATGCGCAAGCCACAAACAAGACGGTGACGCAAGACAGACACGAGGTTTTATCCAGGTTCGGCCGCCAAGAAGGCGTAATACCTACGTCCTGCGTCTGATTGTATTGCTGTATGTCAATGAGAGATGATTTTTAGAGGGGTCCCCTGCCCGCCTTATATAGTCCGGGGGGCAAGGTTATAGATCTGGAAACTAATCCTAGCCAGTTACAATTGCCATAGGTGGCCGGATAAGGATTCCTATTCTAACCGATTAGGATCTTGCTTGATCGCCAAATCCGTCTTGACTCCTTGCGTGGGACTCCGAATAGGTTAGCCGGGCCGCGCGTCGTCTTTTGGTGGACCATGTATTATGAGTTAAGGGTATAGGAGTTAATACCCCCACAGCTAGTAAGGGTATAGGAGTTAATACCCCCACAGCTAGTCCCCGAACACCATGTATTATGCTGCGACACGCCATTTTAACCTTCTCCGAACAGTGAGGCTTGAGTTCTTGACGTCTCTGACCACCATTGTCACCAGAGAAGTAGGTTGTCCAAAGAATGTATGGTGCTCTTAAGAAAAAAGAAAAAAGATTTCTGTCTTGGGAAGTGTGCCCACTTGTATTTCTGAAAAGAAATGTAAGTGCATCTTGAAACGTAGCGTCTTTGATCATCAGAGGCGTAGGGGTCGAAAAATAAACACATTCACTGCAAGGTGAAGTGTGCCCACTTAATCCCCGAGCCTGGTAGTAGGTGACGTAGGCACGTGGTGCCAGGGTCTAAAAAGAATTTCTACTGGAGTTAAGAATCCAATCGTCGTACAATCAATACGAGATGCACCGGCAGGTGCATCGTACCGATGTAGTCCCCGAGCTTGCTGGAAGGCAA